ATATATACATATATATATATATATATATATATATATATATATATATATATATATATATATATATATATATATACAGGGTGTATCATAAAAAACGGAGTCCTCGCTTCAAATATAAATTTCGAAACGAATATTAAAGCAAAACGTTCAGGTTTACATTCATTTTAAAGCTTAGACATTCAGCTTTTCAACGGTGGGTTGTTTCGTAAATATAATCCAGAAGTTCGTGAATAATAATATTTTAAGTGATTGCGATTGGAGAGTCAAAAATTTGAGATGCAATAAGAAACCGGTACTTGATGAAAATAACTTATTTTGTCAACAAAACGAGCAAATTGAGGCATTTTGGCAATTGCTTGTAAAAATCAAGTAATAATGGCTTCCAATACACTATTTTAAATTCACTTGCTGACTTCAAATGCGTTATAATACCGGCTGAAGCGTGTTTTAGCTTGCCGTCAACTTGCTAATTTATATTTACATTACGGCCCGATTCGATGGTGCTCGTTCGGACGATGCATGGACGTAAGGTTGTTTTGATGATTTCTGGAAATAATTTAGGATTTTGAAATAACTAAAACAACCTAATCTCTTTTAGAATGTTTTTAACAAGTTCTTACTAGTTTTTCCGATGTTGCAACAAGAACATTAAAGTTTGAACAAGAAAATTCAAACATTGCAACCGACTATGGAATAACACAGTAAATTTGTATAATTAAGCGGCATCTAAACATGATAGGTTTTACTAAATTTTCTCCTGTGCAGTTATTACTTGCACTAAAGAGTAAAGACACGGATGACCATTTGTTCGAAAGATAAATGAACAGGCTTTAAAATAAGCCTAAAACCGTTTTATTAGAAGGAGCAGTCCGAAATATATATATATATATAATATATATATATATATATATATATATATATAATATATATATATATATATATATATATATATATATATATATATATATATAATATATATAGACAAGTATGAAGTTTAGAATCATATGAGTAGAGTGCTCAATACCGAAGTAGAGTGGATATAACAGAGAAGACAAACTTGAGTCACTTCATTTAAATGTACATATGTATTACATAAAATACTATTTGAATTTGGAGCCCTCCATGATTATCAAAATTTTTAAAAGCGTATAAAGCAATACTCTGGGGGGGAGGGGGTTACTGATCGATGTATGGTTTTTAAAAGATGATAAAATGTGGATGATAATAACTCATTGAATATATAGCTGTGCTTCTACAGTACCTATATCAACATTGAAAAGTATGTATCGAGTGGGGGAGGGATCAGAAAAAAACGTACGCTTTTGAAGATGTTGATGATTATGAATTACCCCTTACCAGTTAAATAAGTTCCAATAATTTATGTTTGTATGATGAAAACTCGTCAAAACTTCATCAAAACTCGTTTGTATGATGCAGTTAACATGTGTCAACATGGGTTCATGGCTGGGAGATCTTGCATATCAAACCTCATCGACACTCTCGACTACATTGGATCGTGTTTAGACAGTGGAGGACATATAGACATGATTTATATGGATATGTCAAAGGCATTCGACAAGGTCGATCATGAAGTATTAATACGAAAGCTGCATTTTTGATTTGCATTTTGCTTCGTTGAATTGTAAGCCAGATTGAGATGACCAGATCCCCAAGTTAGTGATATCTTCCTGTAACTTTACTGCATCATTAGGCGATTGTATTGCCTTGAAGACTTTGGTATCGTCCGCAAACATTGCAACACGGCTTGACTTCACATTGCTTGGCAGATCATTGACGTAGAGGAGGAACAATGCTGGACCGAGTATTGAACCTTGCGGTACGCCAGACTTGACAGGAAGTGGGTCTGACGTTGCTCCTAACACTGTTACGCGTTGTTTACGATTTTCTAGATAGCAACGAAACCATCTGAGGATATTACCTCCAAAACCATAGTCTTTCTGCAGCTTTCGTATTAATACTTCATGATCGACCTTGTCGAATGCCTTTGACATATCCATATAAATCATGTCTATATGTCCTCCACTGTCTAAACACGATCCAACGTAGTCGAGAGTGTCTATGAGGTTTGATATGCAAGATCTCCCAGCCATGAACCCATGTTGACACATGTTAACTGCATCATACAAACGAGTTTTGATGAAGTTTTGACGAGTTTTCATCATACAAACATATTTATAATTACATATAAATTATTGGAACTTATTTAACTGGTAAGGGGTAATCCATAATCATCAACATCTTCAAAAGCGTACGTAAGTTTTGAATAAAATATTTTACAAAATAATTCTCTGAAGACTTGTTCTACTGAATAAAATATTTCACAAAATGTTTATCTAAAGATATATGGGAATGAATTCCGGAGTATTATTATTAGCTGAAACACCTTGAATACAATTAAGCAACTGCAAGCATAATTCCATGCATATATAATACAAATGGTAAACAAGGTTTTTTAAAAATTCTCAAAAATTTACTTGTCAATTTCATGTAACTCTGTCCATGTAATACTAAAACTTACTCTATAAAATAAATATTCAAAAACTGATATGAATGCGATGTTTAGTATAGAGATTAGTATGATGCAATTTAAATGTAGACATTCGTCAATTTCATGTGATAATATTTTCTTACACCATGACGGCTTTCGGGGTATACTAATCACTACTAGTTAAAACGAATATAACCAAAAAAGTACCTGTTGGCTAGCACCTCCTTCTACCAGCAAGATTGTGTTAACTCTCTGAAGCCTGCTCATTTTGTGGAATCTTCGAAACATAATGATGCTGTAAATCAATGCAATTGCTGCCAACTTTTTCTTGTTGTTAATATCGGACTCCAACATTGCAGATAACAGTTTATGGAAAAGAGGACAAGACATTTGCATCTCGTTGTTTATTTCTTCAAAACTAGTAGTTGATAAACCATCAAACCCCCTGTTTCGAAGTAAAGAGCTTTTCTCCCTGCCATTTCTACCAACTCAATGTCAATTTTGGTTCAAAGGGCTTTAATTGACTCAGTGTTGTCTGCTGGCAAAGACTCGGGGGAAACCGTCTAGACAAATACAACGAAAATACGGTAAATGTACGATTGTAAATATTAAGTCGGGAGATGCAGTGAGATCAATGAGTGAGATAAGTGGTTTTTAAAGAAAAATTTAGAACCTTACTGCACATACATTCAAACACTCGCAACATGTAATGTGAGTGATGGCAGAATTAACAAGTTCTCATATATAAACTATATAGTACCAGTCATCAAGTATCACTCTAACATAAATTACTACAATTAATTGAAAAGGTTAGTTTTTTTAACAGTAACATCCCATGAACTATCGCTCACTTTGCCCTTTTAATACATAGGCCTTAGCAGATTGTATACTATTTTACATATTCCTTGTGTATTTCAACCCATTGATTGATTGAATGTTTTTACTTTCGTACAAAAATGATTATGTAAACATGAGTTAACACGAACTGATTTAGAACTGCACATTTTGCGTAGAACGTAATAATTGGAACAATTATGCGGTGTTCAATATACGAAGAGTAATAATATTACATAGAAAAAACAGCCAAGGCATTTGATTTGTGATAATTTTACTTGGTGGCGGCAACATCTCGTAAGCACAAGTGACAAGAATAACAATGTTCAAAACAAACTCGTAACATTTCAATTTAAAAGCTTGAAAAGGGAATGTTTATTCAGATTTGAAATAGGCTGATAAGTGTCATTCTTTATATGCAGGTCATCCTCTGCAAATTAGGAACAACAACATGGACATACAAGCAATGGAACAGTTTGATATAGCATAAGTAGCGAAAAATATGAACAAGCTTTTTGTGACTATGGCTCTGCTATGCGTAGTAGCGTAGTGGTTTGTGCCTAAAATTAATATAGTATAAAGCGCACGCAGCATGGCCTGAGTACGATACTGCGGAACTTTGCTCTTGCTTGCCCTTGCCAAGATGGTGTCTAAACGAAAGCGTGCGCGAATTGATTTCACGGCAAATGCGATCGAGAAGGAGGTTATGGAAGCGAAACAACAACTTGATACTGTTGTTAATTTCAAAAACAGTGTCAGGTTGAAACAACTACGAGAGGCTCTTGCTGTTTTTAAGGGGAAAGCACAATTTGACGTCGTAGGCATGCGCTCTGATGTTTGGCTTTAACACAATCATGTGGATTTTATTTTCAATTCGACATGTGCAGAAAGTCTTTTCGCGATACAAGAACACACGTTTCACAATTATTTCTCGAATAGTTAAGTATTTGTGCCCGGAAAGTTGGTTGACAGACATTGTTGTCGAAGAGATTGTGGACACCTTGGAGAAATTTGCACCGAATATGCCATTTGCGGGAACATATTCAAATGACTTTGACGATGCACTCAAAGCTGTCACGAAAGCGGGAGAATTTAATGTTTCTGGTCTCCTTGCACCGCCTGTAGACGATTTTTTAGAATGTGGCGGTCGCTTATGTGCTCCGAATCCACCAAGCAATGGTATATTATACACCACAAATGGCCCAAAAGCTGTCACGAAAATTATTCTTCGTTGTTTGAGCTGTAAGATATATGGCTATGCAATGAGATCAGATGGCGATGGGGTATCATGTTATTACAGTGAGGATATCATGGCACGCAATACAGTTCTTGAAGTGACAAATGTGGCATATATTGAGAAGGCCCTGTATGTATGGCTAACATCTCTAATGTAAGTGATGTGGATATTAACTGATTTGTATGTAGATAGTGGATACCGGTACTGTATATAGCCAGAATATGTATGTTTTACCTGACATATTTTCACTTTTGTAGTTTTCCTTTATTCAATAATTTGCCATACATAAAGTACAATTTCCGGGAAGGTCCCCACAACAGCATAATGCCAATTACTGTGCCACTTGCACCTGGTCAGGGCCATTCAGACAAATTTGGGGCTCCTTCCCCCATGGGCACAGTTTACATTGCTTTTTATCCAGGGCAGGTTGATCCCTTTGCTCCCCCTGAAAGGCTATAGTGTCTCTTGCCTTTCTTCATTTTACAGGCTTTCCAGTCTGGGCTACTCAAAGAGCACTTTTTTTGCCCAGAAAAAAGAGAATGAAAACTAAAATAATTTCACTATTCTTTTAGTAACCACTGTTTTGTATCCTTTCAAGGATTTTCTGTATCGTATAATGAGACATTCAAGAAAGAAATTGCTAATTATTCAAATGGTATGGTGTAAAATATTGTATAT